TTAAAAAAAAAAAAAACTATTTATATTTTATAATAATAGGGTCGAATTTTTTGTTGGAATATATTAATTAATTGGCTCAATTTTCTTTGATTAATATTTTCCAGAAAATTAAATTTTGGGGGGGTTTTCTGCCTTTTTGCTTGCAGTTTTTTGTATATACTATACAATTGGAACTTCAAAATATTATTGGCCCGTGAAAACTTTCGTGTAAAACTAGCACATCACAACAAATTGGCATGAACCTGCAAACTGATGTACTATATAACATTCTATATATATAAATAAAATAATTGATGTGTGTATATATATATATATATATATTATTAATGATAATTAAAATTCATGTTAGAATGGAAATTTGAATTATTTTTTTTCTGTATATATATGTAAATAAAAATCTGAGAGGGGAAAAGAATACTAGATAAATTAAGAAACTGAATGAATTACAGAGAGAATTGGAATTAGGGGATGAGACAAGTTTGGAGCTGGATATATATATGTATTTTGTGAGGTGGGATTGTTTTGTTCTGATGATTAATGCACACATGTGAGTAGGTGGGTACTTTGTGCTTTGTCCTTGTAGAAAGGTGACAATTTTATTCTCTCAATTTTATTTGGAAAATATATGATAAAAGATAAAACATAATTTTGTCTCTCTTGATGTCAATTTTTGCTAATTAGTTTGTTCATGTTGTTTGAAATTGAACATTTTCATTTCAATGTAATGTTGGCTAGAATTTGTTTTGTTTTGAGTCCTTTTGTGTTTCTATTACCACTGTTTCTCTTGAGTTTCATGATCTCTAGCCTACTATAGCTTGTTTGGGACTAAAAAGGCTTTGTTGTTGTTGGCTAGAATTGCCTTGTGTTTGAAAACTATGTAGTTCATGTAACTTTGATACTTATTAACTTAATTTGATCATATATATTATTAGTGATACACAAGGAAATAAATAGCTCGCTAAAGTTGTCGCTATTTGAGAAATAACTTTTTTTTTTTGACAGCGTGCCGCTATTTGTATTCATGTGCAATTTAGCCGCTAAATCTCGCTAAATCTCCGCTATAGCTCCGCTATAGCTACAGTGTCATAAACGTTTTAGCCCGCTATTTAAAACCTTGGTGATACATAATATAATTATTATGTATAAGAGACAACTAAACTTGGTTACTATCATATGAAACTTGATGGGTGAGTAGTAAACCACAAAAAAATAAATGTTACCTAGTTGACTAGTGGTCAAATGGGTCAATTCGGTCTAAGTTAAGACGAGTATATATATATAGAGTCGGTCTTAAAATTTAATCGGCATGTGGCCAAATATGCTAAATGTTAACATTGCTAAACAGTGGTTTTGTTATAAAGTAATCGGATGCCACAACTACAGTTATTTATAAATAGTATATCGACACATGTCCTACAATAAATACAATTTGGATAGGTGTCAGTGCATCAAGTTATGATGACTCCATAAGTGAGTCATCCGCCCGCTCTACAAATTTTTTTTCAAGGACAACGAATTAAATCCCAAATTATTTTTTATCTTAGCCATATAGCTTAATCTAATTGATATCCTTATTACTTGATTTTGAATTTCTAAGACCGTCTCCAACCGTACTGCAAATCTCAAAATTTGCAGTACAAATCTCTCCAACCGAACTGCATCTGAGATCTCATTTTGCGTCTGGCGTCTTCTCTCTCCTCTGATCGACGCAATTTTGCGTCCAAACGCAAAAATGCGTTGTATATTTTTTAATTTCAGTTAAGTCCTTTGCTTTTATTTTTTATTCCAATTGACCCTAATCTCTTTAAAGTTGATAAATTCAACATATTTTTAATTTTTGTTATTTAAATGCTAAGATATTATGATATGAAATAATGTGTTTAAGAAATACTAATTTTTTTTTTTTTT